ATAGCCTCCCAGGTAGCAAGGATTACTGGCATGCACCATGAAGCCCAGTGTAGCTCTCTGTGTTTGTTCAATATAACAAATAAATGTTGCTGTGCTGGTCCCGCCTCTGGGGTGCACTGAGACAGCAAATGAGACTGAGTGTGGTGGCATGGGTGCACGCGCTATAATCCCAGCTCTTGGGAGGCTGTAAACAGGCAGATCACTACTAGAGTCCGATCTAGTAGTGAGACGCTAAACACCCTGTAGACCCTTCCCATACCCATATATACAAAAATAAAGCAATAAAAATAAATGTTTCATGTTCATTCTAAAGAGGGAAAATAATAAAATATCGGAGGGGAGACTATCATTGGTCCATCTTCAGTGGACCAATATTTTCTGTACATTTAAGTACACAAAAATCCACTCTGTGTGCAATGGTGTACAGCACCACAAATTTGGAGGAAACAACACTGATGTTCAAGTAGCAACACTACCACATCTTTTTTTTTTTTCAGAACTGGGCATTGAACTCAAGCCCTTGCGCTTGTTCTACTGAGCCATGTCCCCGGCCCCAACTGCACACCTTATCCTACACTGTCCATCATTATTTTTGAACTAGTCGGCAACTTTGCTGGCTTCAGGTAAATGCAATTTTAATTCTTTAGAAGCTCCAGAAACTGCATCAGCGGGAAAGAATATCAAACAGGCAAATAACATATCTTTAAACTAGTTTCCTTTGCTGCTGTATCATGTACCAAATCTATACTTGACATTTCCCCCAAATGCATGGTGCTGTGTGGAAAATACAAGTTTCATTGGCAATAGCTTGAAATTTACTTTTAGAAACCTTGATCACACTTCCGTCACAGCTTAGTGATCCAATTAAATATGTTTACTTCTGTAAACATACTTACTTTACACCAAATCTTCACTTAAGTGTTTATTAACATACTTGGTTTTTTCCAGTTATTATACACAAGCAGGTAAGTTCTACAGTTTTCAGCACCAATAGGGGCATCAACTGTATACATTTGGTAAGAAACAGCACAGGCAGTTTTGAAAGTGCCATCCAATAAGCAAAGTGAAGCACATAAGTTTTTCTGTTAAATTTCATGGTAAGTAAGAAGCCTGTCCTCTTCAGCAGTTAAATCTCTAACCAAGCACAGTTCACTATTGAAATCTAATGTTTTGTAACACTAGAGGAAGAGGATACAAGTGTCTCTGCTCAGAAGGTTGCTGACCACATCAAATTCTTTTTTCTCTAAAGAAAGATGGAATGGTTTTGTTTGAATTTTTGACACGGGGATCTTGCTATGTTTCCCAGGCCAGTTTTGAACTCAGACTCAAGTGATCTTCCAACCGCAGCCTCCCAACTACCAGGACTACAAGTGTGCACCACTGTCGTAGTGACTTTTTTCTCGTTGCTGAGCCAAAATACACTGGAAGTTAAAAGGGAAAGGCTTATTTAGGTCAGAGTCCGTAGAAATTTCAGTCCATAATCAGCCACTCTTGAAGGCAGAGTGGCTGGCTTCGCAGAGGGGCATGTCAAAGTAGAAACAATTCATGGTGGCAGAACACAGTAAAAGCGAGCCTGGGAAGGAGAGATAAGCCTCTTTCTGTGCCGTATCTTGTGTCCAGTCTACCAATCCGATCAGTGGACTGATCCAGCAGTCACCCATCCTTAATCTCAGCTTTGCACCATGAATCAAGCACACACTCTGGATTCAGCCACCTACAAGAAAGCCCTATGACCACATGAGGCTTTGGGGAAACAGCTAGACACAAACCATAACTACCACTATGAAGAAGGATGGGTTTTAAGGCAAACATAACACTGTGTAAAAGGGCAGAAGCAGGATAAGACTGAATAATCTGCCATAGGAGATTTCCTGTTATCTTTTTTTTTGCCTGCACTTTCACTTTTATAATCTCCAAAATATTTGGCACACTGCATTTGGAGTGATTGTGGACTAGAAGTCGTGTAAGTGTATGATGTCCATTTGAGAGTCTGGTTATTGCTAGGTCACTGCAAAACCAAAAATAACTAGCTTTTAAGTAGCCTCACACACATATCACGGCCTTCTTACAAGTGGGAACTTTATCTATCTCAAGGAATACCATAGGAAGAAATGGTATCCAGCTGCCCTAATACCAAGCCTGTACTAGGGTCCTCCAAAGAGACTGACCTAATAGGATATGTGCATAGAGGAGCCTTGCTACAGGACTTCAATGGTGCAGTTCTGTTGGCTGAGAAATCCTTTGACAGGCCATGAGGAGATGGATGCCCACAGCATGGCTCAGTCCACGTCCGAAGTCCTCAGAAGCAAAGCAGCCAATGGTACAATTTTCAGTAATTCTCAGTCCAAGACCAAAAGCCACACATGGAAGCCACTGTGTTAAGACCTGCGGTCCAAAGGCCAGGAAGCCTGGAGTTCTAATGACCAAAGCAGCAGAAGAAAACTGGTCTCAGGTCTCAGAGGTCAATTTGTCTTCTGCTTTTGTTCTTTGCTTTTGTTCTTTCCAGGTCTAGGTTTGATCAGGTGGGGCCAAACCTGACTGGTAACAAATGTCCACCACCAGGTCCATTCAAGCCTCATATATTAGCTGGACACAGTGATGCACAACTATAACTCAGCACTCTGGGAAGCTACTAAAGGAGGATCACAAGTTAAAGCCCAGCCTGGGCAACTTAGTGAGTTGTGAGATGCTGTCTCAAAATACACCACACACACGTGCGTGCACACGCAATTCAATGTGAAGCCCATGGGTTCAATATAGAGGACTGCAAAAATAAGGTGCTTTTTTTTTTTTAAACCTCAGTTCAAGATGTTAGTAGTTTAATTTGTTAAGTGGTTTTTGTTTGTTTTTTTTCTTTTGTTTTTTGTGGCCGGCTCAGCCCACCCTGGGGAAGGAGCTGGTCAGCATGTGGTGCTGAACCGCTGTCCCTGCGCTCTGCCTAAGCTTGCCTAAGCAGGCGCTTTAGACCACTGAGCTATCTCACCAGCCCCCAGGACTGCAAAAATAAAAAGACTCACATATTAATCTCCTCCGGTAACTTCAGAGACACACTAAAAATAATATAATGCTTTGCCAAGTTTCTAAGTACTGTATTTATTCAATCTAGCATCATACAAATGTCCTTCCTACAAGCACACATACAGTAATCCCTTCCTTATAGTTTGGCTTTTTACTTATGTTGCACACCTTTTTTTCAATGTGAGTCAAAGTTTTCAAGATCTCAGCTTTTAGGATTTTAGCAGTTAAGATTTTAAACTTATAGAATTGTGACTTTGGGGATTTTTAGATGTTAGGAATTTGATCTCTTAATATTTCAACATTCAGTACTGTGGCATTCAAGATATGTCTTTCAAGATTATGATCATCAACACTAGAATAAACCTGACCTGCTAGGTATGTTGTCACACACCTGTAATCGCAGCACTGGGGAAGTTGAGGCAGGAAGATCCCTGGAAATTTGAGGCCAGCCTAGACTCCACAGTGAGTTCAAAGCCAGCCTGAACTACACAGTAAGACCTTTTTGAAAAGAAAAGAAACCTGACTAAAAATATATACTTTTGGAGAGCACAATAAAATTTTTAAATAAACCTAGCTTTCAATAAAACCTAAACCTAGTGGTTTAGTACTATAACCACTAATTATATGCTCCGATTTAAAACTGAATTAATTTAAATTAAGTAAAATGTTAACTTCCATTCATCAGTTGCACTAGCAAGGCCTTTTGTTATTTCAAAACCAAATAACAATTTTGGTTACTGGATTGGACACCACATAGGAACCGCATTTCCATTATCATAAATGCTTCAGTAGATAATAGTGCTGCAATGATTCTAAATTACCCTAGATTACATTCCAATTTAGTCACTTCTCGATGGTTTGAATTTCTTCCAAAATAACCTTTTAACTTTGGAAACTAAGAAACAGCAGTCATCGATACCATACGACATGTACATCTAAGACAAATAGGACAGCACATGCCTAGAATCCCAACATTGCAAGGTTAGACAGGAAGATCAAAGCTTTTACCCTCCCATCAAGGGAAAAGGTACAAAGCTAAGAACATCAAGGGATTTCTAAAATGTGCAGGAAAGTCACAAGCAACGATTTGTCCACGGTCAGCCTTCACGTGGGAGCAGTGCCCACAAGTCCACAGTCATTATGCACCCCCCGAAGGCCTGATTAACGCCATGCAGCCTTTCGGAAGGGCCCTTGCTCCAACCCATTCTCTCCCAGCCACTTTGGATCACAGGAACAGATGGGACAGAGCAACACCCAGCGGCAAGAGTTGAAACTACCCCCTAACACAGCAACTTTCTTAGCAACCAGATCAGTGACCAAGACTATTGAACTCCTAATACTTCTTGACCCCCACATTATTGCTTTCCCTATATAAATCTGAAGCTCATGTCAGTCCTGTAGTTTTTATTATAATTTTCTTTTATTTTGAAGAGCAAAAACAAAAGCACGAAAAAACAAATATAGAAACAGGGTAACATACAATACATACATTACAGATTTTTGAAACAAGAATAGCTGATTAACAATGAATGATATATTATCTATTTTTATCATCAAATCTGTTGCTCAGATTAACAGATATAGTTACACAAGACTGGACATATGATTGAATATTACCGCATGCTTTCAAGAAATCCTGGGGCCAGGGAGATAGCTCAGTAGAGTAAGTGCTTGCCTGGCAAGCACAGGGTCCTGAGTTCAATCCCCAGTACCGCAAAAAAAAAAGAAATCTTAAATTTTTGTTCTTGACTCTCTTTTTCTTTTATTACCTTTTTCTAAAAAATTTACTTTAAAGAGAATATAGTAATAATTGATATGACATTAGAAATGGTACACAGTTAAAAGACCAAAATGCCAGGTATTTCAAGCATAGTTTTTGTATTTCACATTGCTATCCTTAATGTACTTGCTCAGTTCCTAGTTATCTGCATACAGTTAGTCAAGATGAGAACTTTACAAATTAACTGCTATTTTCATTTAAAAAAAAAAAATGGTTAGGTGCCAGGGAAGTAGGTGGCAATGCCTCAACTGTATGTGTGTTGTCAGGCCAGAAGGCCTCTTCCAGTCTTGTCAAGGGGAGTGCTAACCTTCTTTCTCTTCCATATAACACTAGTCCTCTATTTTTGATCCCTCATCTGCATCTGGCGAGAAGCCAAGTGACTTTTTTTCCATAGGACAGTTTGTACTTGGCATCAGGGAGGCCAACACAGTGTTTGCTGTGGTAAACGTCCCAGCGCTGTATGTGCATGAAGGGAACCCAACCCAGGACTCTTGGATACAAGAAAACCCAGCTCCCTGTAGCCCCAGGGACTGCTGTGAGCCTTCTCACCAGCCAGCTCTCACGGTACAGAGCAAACCTATTTTCTGCCTTCAATAAATAAATGTTACCCTCAGTGCCTTTCCTATGTGTCTTATCTGATTCTTCATTTGAGACACCAGGAACCTGGAAAGAAGCCCCCACAGGACCCCCCTTCCAGTAACACCTGTGCAGGGTGAGATGATGATGCGAGTAAGGGGGGGCCCTCCATCTCCTCAGAACTGAGGGTCTTTCCTTCTCACCAAGGGAAACAGCCTTCTCTGTTGGGGTCAGGAGGGAATAAATGAACCTCAGCAATGGACCTACGTGAGAACACTCTTACTGCCATATTTATAGAGGCTCAGTAAAAACCAAGGCAAGTCTGTCCTGCATATTTATTCCTTCCCTCTCAATTCTACCCTATTATTACAGCATCTCTTCTCTTACTCACCATAATTCTGGAAGTATCATATGTGCCATATTTCCTACTCCTTGCACACCCACTGTGTCTCTTCAATATGCTGGAAAAGATTCCTTCCAACAGCCGACTTCCTACCACAAATGTTCCTACTCATTTTCAGTTCTTGTATTTTGCCAAATTGGATGCATCGAAAGTGACTAACTTAATTCTGCTTTTCTTTCAATTAGATAAAAAACATTAGCTTTACAATCCTCAAATAAACAGTAAGAAGATATATTAGAATATATACTGGATATATGAGATTTATAAATATGTATTTATTTTTATATACCAAATATGTAAATATCACATTGAACTATAGCAATGCTTGCTCTATTCTAGAAACAGGTCAATAGTAGGGAGGCTACCAGCTTCAAAGAACAGGTCAAGAGAATTTACTGAACCCAGGTGTGGCTCCACGAACCTGTAACCCAGGCTCTTTGAGAGACTGAACTAGGAGGATGCCAAATGCAAACCCAGTGTGGGTGTTACGGTTTACACCTAGAATGTCACCCCAAGACCCACATGTTCAGAATCCGTAGCTCAATGTGACCTAGACCTAGAAGGGTGTCTCCCAGGGGGCTCCACTCTTCACTCTCTGCTTCCCGGGTCCCATTCAGCAGTTCTCCATCAGCCAGCCCTCCTGTGATGCTCTTTCTGCCTTGGAGCCATGGTCTGAGCTGTGAGCCAAATGAGCCTCTTCTCTGTAAATTTCCATGTCAGGTACTATGTCCTGCAACAGGACATAGTACTGGGCAACTTCTAAGCAACTTAGTGAGACCCTATCTCAACAAAAATTTTAAAAATGGTCTGGAGAAACAGTTCAGGATGAAGGCCCTAGGTTCAATTCCTGCGTCCTGCTCCCCACAAGAAATATCGACCAAAACTCTCAAGTAGCCTTTCCTAATTTCTCTCCACAATGTTTATAAATACTGCCAAGATCATAATACAGATGTAATTACAACCCTACAAACGGAAAAAGACTGTCATGCTTCCTTTCATTCAGAGACTATTAAAAAGGAGAAAAGAGGGGCAGCCAGATAGCTCAGAGGATTAAAGCGCCTACTTAGGCAGATGCAGGGACCCGGGTTCAATTCCCATGTCCCACACCCCAGGACATACTAAGACAGTGATGAGACTGGGCATGGAGGCACGCAATTGTAATCACAGCGCTTGGGAGGATGAAAACAGAAGGATCACTACCGTCTGATCTACATAGTGAGACCCTGTAGACCCTGTACTAAATACATTTTTAAAAAATTTAAAAAGCAGAAAAGAATGAAGAAAATAAACCCAAAAGAAATTACAAATAATACTTTTGCTAAAAAAAAAAAAAAAAATTAAAAATGGGGACAACCTGCTTGGGCCCCCCCCCCATGTCCCTCTCAGACTGAAGCTTTCATTCCCCTAATAAACATTCAGCTCTTAGCCTCCAAAAAATAAATAAATAATAATAATATTGTTTCTAAAAACTTAGGGTTTTTTAATAAATATTCTTATTAAAAAATGGCTTGTTTAGGCCAGGGAGATGGCTCAGGGGCATAAGTGCCTGCCTGGCAAGCGCAAGGTCCCCGGTACTAAAAGAAAAAAAGAAAAGAAAAAGAAAGAAAGAAATTGCTTGACAAATTATAAGATCATCATATAGCCAAGAGTGGTGGTACACACCTGTAATTCCAGCACTCAGGAGGCTGAGGCAAGAGGATCACTGAGAGTCAGGGACAGCCTGAATTACATAGGGAGACCCTACTTCAAAAAAAAAGAGTAAAAAGAAATGGATTTTGACTTTCACGAACTTGAAAAAATGATCACATAAACCATTTGAATTGTCAAAGAATAGTTCAAGAATGAGACCAGACAGCTATTAAAGATTTACACTACAGAAAGGTAAGGGCTGGCCTGATAGCTCAGCGGACTAAAGTGTCTACTTAGGCACACTGCAGCAGCCAGGGTTCAATCCCCAGCTTGCGAGCCAGCCCCATTCCCAGGGCGCACAGAGATGGCGACTGAGACTAGGCGTGGTGGTGCGCCTGTAATCTCAATGCTTGGGAAGCTGTCAACAGGAGAATCACTACAAGTCTGATCTATGTAGTGAGACCCTGTAGACCCTGTCGTCCCTTCCTTATAATAATAATAATAATAATAATAATAATATAAAATAACTATTTACTCAGCAATGCTCTATCACACAGAACCACCCCTACTCATTTTGATTCCCCACAATCTCATATGTAGTTGGTGACAAACCATTTTACAGGTGGGTGTATCAGCACATCCCTGTGGAATTCCCACCACTTGGGAGACTCAGGCAGGAGGATTTCAGGTTGGAAGCCAGGCTGGGGAACTCAGTCTATCTCAAAATTTAAAAAATAAAAGGCAAATTAGCAAGACTTTGTCTCCAAAACTAAATAAAAAAGGGCTGAAGGTGTAATCTAGTGTGAATGCTCTAGATTCATTCCTCAGTGCCACAAAATAAATAAATAAAATAAAAGGGCTAGAGATGCAATCTAGTGGTACAGCATCCCTGGGTTCGAATCCCAATCAATCAATCAATCAATAAATAAATAAATATTTATACAATACATTTTAAAAGAAACAAGTAAGGGTCAGGAGACAGGGATCTATCTTAAATTTGCATTAACTGTGTAATTGTAGGTGAACTACTGAATTCCTCCATGCCTGTTTCCTCTGTTGTAAAATAAGTAAAGAGATTAACACCAAGTTCCAACTTTTAAGCCTGCAGTTATATACTTCTTGATGTGTGTGTGTGTGTGTGTGTGTGAGAGAGAGAGAGAGAGAGAAAGAGAGAAATACAAATGGAGATCTTAAATTTGGCAGAAAGACAATCTACTCATCCAAGGCTTTGTTAAAAATGACATTAAAGTTACAAAAATAGTGACAATGTACAGGATCAAAAAAGAATAGTAAGGGGCCAGGGAAATAGCTCAGTAAAATAAGCGTTTGCCTGGCAAGCACAAGGTCCTGAGTTCGAACCCTGGTACCACCAAAAATAAATGAATAGTAACATTAAGCATTAATGAACAATAGGTAGGGGCCGGGGAGATGGCTCAGTAGAATAAGTGTTTGCCTGGCAAGCGCAAGGGCCTGAATTCAATCCCTGGTTCCGCCAAAAAATAAAATTAAAAAAAATAGGTAACTGAGGAAGATAGTACACACCTAGAATCCCAGCCACTCAGGAGGCTTAGGCAGGAGAATCACTTGAGCTTAGAGGCTAACCTGAACAAAAACAATGAGACCCTGACTCAAAACAGGGGGTGGAGTTGTGGCTCCCACAAATTTTCAGAAAGGGAACACATAGGGAACAAAGAGCTACATCCCCCTCCTTTTTGACACAGGGCTTAGCTAACTCACAGAGTTGCCCAGGCTGGACTTTAACTTCCTGCCTCAGCCTCCCAGAGTGCTGGGATTACAAGCATGTACTACGTACCTTACTCTTGGTAGTTCTCAACTATTACAGCTCAGAGGCCTTTGTATCTCTAGCCACTTGGACCTGTAATCCAATACTCCAGAGGTGGAGGCAGGAGGATTACTGGGAGTTTGAGGCCAGCTTTGGGTACATGGCAAGATTTTGTCTCAAAAAAAAAAAAAAAAAAAAACACACACACACATAAATAAATCATATATAGCCACTGGCTAGGATTAATGAGCAATCCAAAAGAAAGAGTGTGAGAAAGCACCCTCACTCACATCAAAGGTTCTCACAGCCTACTTTCTGAAGTGGCACGCCATCATTTCCGCCATCTGCTGTTGGCTACATAGTTCAGGCCAGCTACGGTGCGGGAGGGGACTACTCACCAGTATGAATACCAGGGAAAGGGGCTCTGTTGTAGTCAGGGCTTAACAGGCAAAGGAATTAACACAGGACACATAACTCAGGATTATTTTGTACTATTCACACAAAGAGTCAAATGCAGAAGAGTGCGGACAATCTGTCCACACACTAGAGATCCAAGAATCCAGCTGACAGCCTGGATCCCCTGGCAATGTCCCCCACGAGTCCAGCTGGAGGCCCAGAGCCCACAATGTCTCGGGAAGTCTGTATGAAGGAGCTGCGCCCAAAGGCCGGTGGTAGAAACTGGAAAGTCTGCACCAGCAGGAAGGATCTGTGCCGCAGGCTGAGGGAGCAGCACTGGAGTCAGGAAGTAACCAAAGAACCACAGCTCTGCCCAACAGGGCTGCAGGCATCCTCAGTGAGAACAAAATCTCGAGATCCCCCAATGATAACAGCTGGGTTTGTATCAGAAAAGCCACCAGGACAAGCTCCTCCAAGCGATCAACAGCACATCATTGTTCCTTGCAGGTCTTTTCATGCTGCTGGCATCAGTCCTCAGGCGGG